TTTTAAGAAAGTATGAAAACCTGGTCGAAACTGCATATGACAACATACAATAGTCTTTGGAATTGTTTATGGATATATATTATAATGCTGCTAAATTTGCTAAAACAAGTGTTAAAACAACAAAACAAAATACAAATCCCAGGTGGAATCAAGAGCTTGAGGACATGAAATATAAAAAATGTAGCTCACTTCGATCACATGGAGACTTTGGGATTCATATCGACATAAACTGACGGCCAAAAGTAATTATTGCCACTTTAAAAATGAAATTGCAAAAATTTACAAGCACAAGTTCAAAAATAAATCGATACAAAACACATCGTCCAAATACATCAACGCACTATGCAGATATACGTTCACTGCATGTTTTTGTTTGCTTGTTGTTGTTTTTTGTTTCTTTTGTAGAATATGCGAAAAAGTGAAAAACACATGCGGCATGGGCAGCCGAAACTACACGGATGTATAAATGATACGGATGGCATGCCAGACGCTCACATTCATAAACAAAACACCACACAAATGCCACGACTGACACCAGAACAACGCGAGCGGCCCTGGGCGTGATACAGATCGGAGCCATCCATGCCCACATTGCTAGAACTTTGGGTCGATCACGTGTTGTTGTAGCTAACTTCATGTAACGTTACAGATAGACCAGGCAACCGGACAGTTATTGACATCGACGTCGGAGATTGTGATGACCCCGGACTGTACGTCGTTGGCAGCGACGTGACTGGCCGCGGGTCGTCTTCACTGATTAAAGCCGGTTCTGTCTGTTAAGAGCTGAAGGAAGACTTAGTGTTTATAGCTAAAGGGGAGAGCGAACGGCGGCATTTGGCATTCAGGGGGCCGCCGTATGGAGGGGGTGTAATGGTATGGGGAGACATTTCATGACAACCCAAATCTTACAGAACTTCCTTGTGTTGCCGTGGCCTGGACGCTCCCAAGACATGTTCCCCATAGAACCCCTTTGTCATGGATCGTCGTGTCTGACAGCGACCACATCCTTCAGCCAGTCGAAAAGAACTGATCCAGGCCCTCCAAGAAGAATGGCGACGTATCCACTTCACGTCATCAGATAACTGGCTTTTTATATGCGCCGGAGAGTTATTCCGAGTCTTGTGGCGGGGGACACCAGAAATGGGCTTCACATATTGTACCCATGTGGGGAATCGAACCCGGGTCTTCGGCGTGACGAGCGAACGCTTTCACCACTAGGCTACCCAAATAGCTAAGGTTATATGTATTGTATTTTATTTTAGAATGCAGTAAATATGTCATCATACAAATTATTGTATTTTTGGTTGAAGGTCGTATACTGAATAAATCTATCTTTCCGTCTGTCTGAAAAAAAGTAATAAAAAAAATTAAAATCCCCAAACATCAAAAGCACCATTTCACAACTAGGGTGATCTGTATGGTCAACGGTACCAGTTTGCCACCAGGATGGTTTATATTCAACGGTTTAGGAGTTCTTCTCAGTTCTGCTGATCGCTACATCCCCCAGTTTTACAAAACGGGAGATTAAAAAAGTACTAAAAAGTCCTCCCTTGAAAAATAACGTTAATCCCTATTTTTGAGGTATAATGTTGAAAAATACAGACACATGCGAAGGCGACCTGAAAACAAGACAGATATTTAAGTGATGGACCAGAAATCAGGTCACACGAAAGCCCATATATACTGATTTTGTTTAAACTGAACACAACATGTAAATTTTGAATGTCTGTTGTGCCAAAAGTGCAAAGATTAAATAATTTACACATAACAAATGTACATACAATAAACGGGTTTGTAACAGTTATTTTGCCAATTCAACAACCGGCCTTTTGTTTAGAGTCTAGTAAGGGATACAATATTTGCTCTTGACCCCATAACACTGAGGCAGATGTTATAACTAGTAACTAAGAGGCATTTGTCCTTTTGTTGACAAAATACAATACATCATATGGGAAACATGCAATCTGTATGCAAAAACATGAAAGAGAGAAACTATCCCATGGTTTGAAATTGATGACGACATATAACTCCACAATTTCCATCGAGTCTAAAACCATCTAAAAATTTGTTTGTTTCCACCTTACAGAGAAACAAATGTATGTTTTGAGGCCCTGACTGAATAGCTTCAGGCTTAAAGAAAAATCCCGACCTAACGAGAATATGAGTTGGCTGGTCCTTTAGTGCATTCGAGGGTAGATATGATTCAATTTGTTGAATCCATCTGGATTTACCTGTTGATTCGTTTGTTACTGTAAGAAAACAAGCGTTGCAAAGTGCAAAGTATCCTTTTATTCTTATTATTGACCGTCACAAATCCCCTTCCTCACCTTTAACATTGTCATGTAAGTAAGTCAGTTGAAAGGAAATAGGTTAAAATCAATTTTTTGGTCAATTCCCTTGTTTTTATTTTGCCAATCTGAGAAGAAATTGCTATTAATATGCATAAAGAAACAACGAGGAGGGGATCACAATAAGTGCCAATGGGAATGCCTGCTTCTTTCCAAAACCGTCTTATCACCAAATTTCACATACAGTAAACTACGGTTTTAACGAACTCAAAAGGACCACTAAATTTGGTTCGTAATAACTGTAGTTCATTATAAACATATATACAGAATACATACAACAAATGACCGTTACTAAATAATTAGTTCGTTAAAAGCATGTTCGTTATAAACGTAGTTTACGGTATTTTTTCAGATTATATTTGCTTTCATATTTGACAAATTTCACGAGCTTTTGAAGATAGAGATGCAACTGGTTGACTGATAAGTTCTGAGCCTCACATAGAAGGATTTGCTTAAAAGTGACATCTTTTGTTCTCAACATTACACGATGCCATGAATATCCTGACTACTTTTGTAGACATTTCCCAGGAGAGAGTACGTGGCCTGTTCTCTTTTCTCTCATAGTGTCTGGCCTTTTGTAAGTCCTCGTCATCCCAGAACACGATGAATTCGCATTATGATACACTTTTGAGGCAATTACAGCATGAAATTGTTACTAAGAGACATTTGAAGCTGAGAAATGGTATGCTCAGCTCTTTTCTCCCTTATATTTCATTTTTTTACAAACAATTGTAAGACTTAATGAGGTCATCTTTTTCTGTCACATGAAAGAAAAGAAAGAAAACTTCGCAGTAACTTTTACTTCAGATCAATTAAGATATCTTCGAAGTCGGTATTTCATCGTTTACCAAACATTTGGTTTAGGACTGCAATGTCCAGGCCCGATCCAAGAAGAAGGTTGTCCCGGGCCCCAAATGTGCATCTTGTGTGTTAGAATACTTATCTGTGTTCATAATCCCTTTACAGACAATTAGTAAGGTTCCCGCGCCATAATAAGTCACACATCCCACCTAGATGACATAATCCGTAATAAACTGTAGTGGACCGTAGTAAGCCGTATTATGCCGTGATGTCACGTAGTAACCCGTAGGAACCCTTGAGAAACCTTGGTAATCCCTACCTATCCCTAATAGAACGTAGTGCGATCGTGCTGATCCGTGACAAATCCGTAGCAAACCGTATTGTATCCTTGGCTTATCCGTGGTGTAACCGTACAAGTACGTAGTTCACCGTAACCAACCTTACCGATCCTTGGCGACTTGAGTCCGGGGATGTGTTACGAATAAGTACGGTTTATTACGGACTACAACGGATAAGTACGTTCTTATACGGATCAGTAAGGATGTACTACGGTTGTCTGATCCGTGGGGAATTTTTGAACATACTCAAAAAGTGTCACGGATATACAAGTACTACTACGATTGACCCAGGAGTGAGTGAGTATGGTTTTACGCCGCTTTTAGCAATATTCCAGCAATATCACGGCGGGGGACACCAGAAATGGGCTTCACACATTGTACCCATGGCGGGATTCGAACCCGGGTCTTCGGCGTGACGAGCGAACGGTTTAACCACTAGGCTACCCGACCGCCCCCGATTGACCCAGGATACAATACGGACAGCTACGGACCACTACAGATTGCCACGAATGATGCCGGATCGTATCCGTGGCTAATCCGGCGTCCGATCCGTGAATGTGTGACCGGGGTATGACGCCGGTCTGTAAGTAATCGAGTCTGGACCAGACAATCCAGTGATTGATATCATGAGCATCGATCAGAATTTTCAGAGGGTCAACGGGGGCACGGGTGGCCCAGTCGTCTAAGGCGCCGCGATTCGCTGTGCAGAGTTGCGTCCCTTGGACACGCCAGAAACCTATGATTGTGGGTTCGAATCCCGGGTTTCACCGAAGTGGTTTCACGTTTCACGTCTGAGACCTTCATCACTTCGGGCATTCCTCCCACATTAAGCTGACGCGCCGTGATATAACTGGAATAGTGTTAAAAGCGGCGTTAAAGTCAACTCACTCACTCACTCACTCACACTCAGAGGGTCAACATTGGGACTGATTGAGAATTTTCACGAGAGCTTAAACTACAAAGCTTATTATTTAATCTAAGCAGCCGTATATAAAATAATTTTGATACTTAATTCATTTTTCCACAAAATACTGATCAGTACTCTGTATGTATACTGATGGAAATGAATGAGCGAACACTTAAGTTTCAGACACAATAAAATGTATCGATCACTGATTGTTTTCAACTGATCGCAGAGATGGTTTATTACTTTCATATATGATTGATACGTTTTCACGAGAACGATCTGCATCTAAGCCGTATATAGATCTATATCGCAATTACGTTGTTTGCTTTTATATATATATATATTTTTTCATTAATTATTTGCTACCTCCACAGCTTTAGATACATTCATTTCTCACAGGCTGCACAATTCCACGAACTCCCGCATAAGAAAATAGGTCTACATATAAAACAGCTTAATTAAGCACAGGCAGTATCATTTTTAAATAAAAGGTCAGCTATTATAAGTCTGCTTAACACTGATAATCATTAATAGAGGTTAACGAATGATAATTCAGCGGATGGCTATAGTCATTCGCGCAAGGATCTGACAAGCTCGGGACTACTTTGACCCAGTTTCGGCACTTTCCGGCACATGCTACGGAAAATTACGAGCCGGTCAGTCAATATATACTCGTGCTACATCATCACGCAGAGTGGCCATGGCCGGTGCCGGTGACCATTTCTTCGAAGGAACAGAGAAACTGTTAGAGGTGTGGTTTGCATCTTCCAGTGATGAAAAGTGCGATCTACGGACAGTTGCAAGGTGAAACTATGTTTTTATTCCCATGCCACATTGATCACGAGTATTAGCAGGTTGTCGAACGCCGGCACAAAAGGTGGAGTGACAGCAGGTGATTTGGTCCAGTGCTCAGTCAACTGCGGCTTCTTCGATAAAAGTCAGTGTGGAAATTCTGATTAGCGTCTAAAAACAAGGTCACGGGAAATAGACAAGTAGCTTATTATGTCGATGCAAACCTATACTTCTGTTGTCAGTCTGCCAATTTCTCTAAATAACCCAGTTCCATTTGCGCCGTGATGAGGTGTTGTCATGACAACATGGATGTTATAGCCTACACCATCTCCTCAATCTCTTGAGAAAATGAACATGTTGTTGTTTTAGTGCATATAGTGCAGTTGTGAATGACACTACAGTGATGGGCTGTCTAGTTGTTTTAGTGCATATAGTGCAGGTGTGAATGACACTACAGTGATGGGCTGTCTAGTTGAGTTTTGAGTTTTCATCTTGCTTTGCATTCATCATCTTTATATATATAGGCTATATAGGGCCTAACCAACATTTATTTGGTTTTGTTGTGGAGTAATGACAGCACAGCACTCTAGGAGGGGCCTGATTGGGTGTACTGTTTAGTGTAAAACAACTAGAAGACACTATCGTAAACATAAGATAGTCAAATTTTTATTATGTAAGATTAATGCAAAATGTCCATAAAAATTGCTTAACATGAATTACAATTATATTGTTAATCATAATCATGAATAATCATTTCATAAAAGTTGTCTATACCCTTGTGTTATGGGTTTAAGAAGTATTTCTCATTATGTGTCTGATAACAATCCCATTACTCTAAAATTAAGTCTTACCTTTGAGAACATTTATATCTGTAAGCGAGACAAGTCGATCAGGCGCCTCTTGTTACCGTCACATGATTTCTAGGCCCCTCCATCAAGTTAAAAACAGGTACACAACATAGTCACTTGGCATTACACACAGGAAGATTATTAACATCAGCCGATATGTAACCAAAATTGTCATCAGATCAAGTTTGATTAAAATGTGCATTAGTCAAAATGTAAGTTTTGAGGTATGTTTTCATTACTTCTTGAATATCCTTCCTTGTGTAGCTTAATTCGAATTTGGAACATAACTTCAGTTGCAAGTAATGAACACTTTGATGTCTTTAGTGGACTTTGAAGCGTCTACCTTGATTACCACATTATGTGCATGGTCACATGTTGTTAAGGAGCTTGAAAAAAGATGAGACTCGAAATGTTACACCAAACACTAATGAGTAGTGAAAAGGTAAATATTTTCATCCATTGCGCCATACTTGACACTGCCAGCTGTAAATCGTAAGGATGCCTGGCACACTGTCTATGAAAAAGATGTCTAAAACATATAACAGAAACTGATAGGAGCACATGCAAGTATCGAGATACATATTGGATTGTGAGTATGGTATCATGATATGTATCGGATCTCACAGTTGTGACAAGTAGTCTCACTACTAGCAGCATTTGTGTATGACGTCATTTGTTATTTCCACTGTCTGAAGTGTGCAGTGAGGCAATCTTATTGTTGATAGTCATTTTGGAGTTAATTAATGCAAACAAAAACCACCCACATTTTTTGCACTTAATTCATGCTCGCTTTAATTTCAAGATTTACAGTATATCACTTGACTAAACGCGAGTCTGGGTAGTCCTGTGGGTATCTGTGTTCTACTCAGTACCCACCTGACCTGAGTACCCGAGTAGTTACCTGTCCCAGCCCAAGTATCTAGTATTAAATAAGCAGACACAGAAGTGAACTCCCACAGACCCTACCACATAGGTACCCAGGAGTCATCACTGTCCTGATAACCCTGATTATGATTAAAACACTGTTCAAAGAAGAATTATGCCACACTCACTCACTGACATCATGGCTTGTTGGCAATCAATTTTTGCATCCTCATCCAATCCATTGTTGAAAGGTATTTGTAAACCGTTCAAAGAGACGTGTACCTGGGTCATGACCAGATGTTTCTAGAAATGAAGTTATTGAATATGTAACAGTGGGGTGAAGTGAAGAATGCAGGGCTTGGAGTTCCTTATATTACAGTTGCAATGGCACAGTTAGGTCATAAAGACATGGTTAAAATATGTTCCCAGTGCCTGTAAGGCGCTCATTGAAATCATATTTTCGGTTTAAGGCTAAAAAGAATAATAGTCATGGTTCTTAGGTACCCCCCGCATCATCATAAAGACTACCGCACGTTTTGTTTTTATTACAATTTTCAAAAAAATATAAAAATCCTAATACTTAAACACAATGCTAAAAAAGAATTTAAAATGGAAACAAAAACGAAACGTGCAATGAACTTCATGATGATGTGGGCAGTGCCTGAGAACCAAGACTATTATTTTTTTTAGCCTAAACAAGCCACTGATAATTACTTTCACACAAGTAAAGTTGCCGAAGGATGATAAGTCGATTGGCTCTATAGAGAACCACACTCCAGTGACTTTTGATATCAAAATATACCAACACAAAACTTTTAACATCTAGGGCTTGCTGAGGCATCGGGTGTTGATGAATCAGCTGATGTCAAAACAAACAAGGGTGCGATACCATTTATCATCCAAAATCATTCCTCCAACTGTTTCAGTTTGTAAATCATAATAAGCAACGTCTTGAGTGTAAAAGTACGAAAACCAGCGTCGTTGGCAGAGAGATTTGGGATTCCAGTTGATGAACGGTTTCAAAAGCATTGAATTGCAGCGATATCTCCGCTTGATCTCACCCATTGTAGTCTCCTGCAGAAGCCAGTTATAGATGATAAATGAACATAGGTGACATGCTTAATGAACCTATTTCTATTTCTTTTAATGCAATCCTCGTGATTGCACACCTAAATTACAAAGGAAACACACATCCTCTGTATGAATACCCTGTGACCCACTTGAATGAAATCTGAGTGTGTTTCTATCCCTTGAATGGCAACATATGTTGAATGATCCTGCTCCCTACTAGTGGAATTGAATTTTCATGTTTATGATATCATACTTGAATAACTTGATGATTCATATTTTAATAACATTGATAATGTTTTGGCCAATTGTGAATAACAATAGAAAAGTGTGTTGTGAGCACTTCCAGTCTTGATTACAGTAAAACATGGATATAACGAACTACAAGGGACCGGAGAAATCAGTTCGTTATATCCGTTCTTCGTTATACAATGTATATATACGTTTTCACTCGGAAACGTCCACCATCTTGGATAAAACAAAACACAATACATGTAACTGCAGCATTGACTTGCATTAGCAGTGATCACTTCATAGCATTCAGCTGATAACATTTCATATCATTCATTTAAGTACAACAAGGTTGATCCGTCATCGCTGTTTGTGTTGATTCGCCGAGAATGTGTTGATTCATCGCTGATTGCGTACAGCCAATTGTCGGACACTTGACACTGAGTGAGATTTCTCAGTTTGCTATACACGTCACTAATTAGTGATAGATGGGATTGTCGGTGATAAGATATCAGTTCGCTGTATCTGTTAGTTCGCTGTAGAGTTTGTTATGTACGTAAATTTGATATGATATCATGTAAGAGATAAATCAGGGATTTTTTAAAAGTTTGTTGTATCCGTTTGTTCGCTCTATCCGTGTTCGTTATATCCATGTCCTGCTTTATGTAATAAGTGACTGCCATCATTTTGCTGGAATATTGTCAAGTATGGCATTAAACAACAAACAAAAACAAAACATGCACACAAAAATCGATCAGTCAAAACGATCTGATTGATAATCAAGATCTATATTGTAAAACAGGTCTTACCCCGTGAAGTACATCACATCACTTGAGCACCTTGATTAAAAATGTGAAAAGATTTGCAACATATCTGTCAACGCCAAGTTGACAGTACTCGTGCTTTGCAAATCCTGCAGTCAACCAAAATCGGCATGCTGAAATCCATGTTGTTTGCAAACCGGATGTCTAGTTCATTACACGATTTTGATTGGACTTTGCATGGAATCATTTGTCCTGCCAAAACTCCGGAAACCCAGCCTTGTTCAGCAGTGGTGGAAACTGGACTTTTATAGTCAGTTAACACATTTGCTCTAGGTAATGAGTGTAGTGTAAGTCCTTGACCTGGGTTGAATACTTCTAGGTCCCTGGTACTCAATGCCTGCTGACAGGGATGAATACTTCTAGGTCCCTGGTACTCAATGCCTGCTTCCAGGGTTAAATACTTCTAGGTCCCTGGTACTCAATGCCTGCTGCCAGGGTTGAATACTTCTAGGTCCCTGGTACCAATGCCTGCTTCCAGGGTTGAATACTTCTAGGACTCTGGTACTCAATGCCTGCTGACAGGGATGAATACTTCTAGGTCCCTGGTACTCAATGCCTGCTTCCAGGGTTAAATACTTCTAGGTCCCTGGTACCAATGCCTGCTTCCAGGGTTGAATACTTCTAGGTCCCTGGTACTCAATGCCTGCTTCCAGGGTTGAATACTTCTAGGTCCCTGGTACTCAATGCCTGCTGCCAGGGTTGAATACTTCTAGGTCCCTGGTACCAATGCCTGCTTCCAGGGTTGAATACTTCTAGGTCCCTGGTACTTAATGCCTGCGTCCAGGGTTGAATACTTCTAGGTCCCCGGTACTCAATGCCTGCGTCCAGGGTTGAATACTTCTAGGTCCCCGGTACTCAATGCCTGTGTCCAGGGTTGAATACTTCTAGGTCCCCTGTACTCAATGCCTGCTGCCAGGGTTGAATACTTCTAGGTCCCTGGTACCAATGCCTGCTTCCAGGGTTGAATACTTCTAGGTCCCCGGTACTCAATGCCTGCGTCCAGGGTTGAATACTTCTAGGTCCCCGGTACTCAATGCCTGTGTCCAGGGTTGAATACTTCTAGGTCCCCGGTACTCAATGCCTGCGTCCAGGGTTGAATACTTCTAGGTCCCCGGTACTCAATGCCTGCGTCCAGGGTTGAATACTTCTAGGTCCCCGGTACTCAATGCCTGCGTCC